GCTCAGGTCTAGGGCTTTGGGTTTAGGGTTTAGGGTTTAGGGTTTAGGGTTTAGGGTTTAGGGTTTAGGGTTTAGGGTTTAGGGTTTAGGGGTTTAGGGTTTAGGGTTTAGGGTTAACGGTTTAGGGTTTAAGTTTAAGCAAGCAAATGCGCAAGCGACATGGTTAAGCTTTCGATTGAGTTTGGTAGGGGATCTCGGCCCAGATCTGTTGCTGGAGCACCGGAACGTCCTCATGTCCACCAGCACGGGATGCGTCGCTGCGGCGCGCTCCCAAGTTGCCACCAAAAGATCAGGGCGGGCACACAACAAATCATTCTAAAGAGGAAGGCTGAACGTGTCCGCAATAAGTTTTCGGATGGGTGTCTGCTGCCTGCTTTTACTTTTCATTTGTTGATTTGTTCATGCTTTCGCTGCTGGCCATCTATTGCTGCGAGTTCCAAGTAACGCGTTCCCACAAAGAATGCGCACAGCACCAAACCACAACCACCACACAGTGGTGGACATGAGCTGCTTGTCGTCGGTGTTCCTGTCTGGCGTGGAACTATATTGTTGGGAAGCAAAACTGGCTCCGACCACCTGTCGCGCATGTTTTGCCACGTGCGAAAGGAACATAAACCCTAAACCCTATTCTCTAAACCACGTTTTCCAGCCACAGGGCCGTCTGGGGTGGCCGGTGATGGCCGGTGCGCCAAAGGTGTCTGTTCGGTTCTAAGCAGGAGACCCCACATTGAAAAGCGCAAAAATGTACTACTGGGGACCTTGAGGGGCTTCAGGCTTAGGGTTGTTTGGTTTAGGGTTTAGGGGGTCCACTTAGCCTAGTCAGAGAAAGGGATCTAGAATGACTGTCGAAGTTTCGGTGCTTTAGAGGGGTTCTCAGGCTTTGGGCTTGGGGAGAAACCAAGAACACTGAACTCAAAGCCCTAAGGGCTTTAGGAGGGACCCTTAATATGGACCCTTGTAGGCTATTGGGGCTAATATGGAGACTACATGGCTATATGAGGGGTATATAAGGACTATACAATGGTTATTTGGGTGATGGGATTAAGGGTCCCTATTAGGGGTCCCTCCTAAAGTCCTTAGAAAAGCACATAATTAAGGCTTAAACCCAAAGCCCAAAGCCCTACACCCTAAGCCTCAAACCTCACGCTCCCTTGATTGTCCTCTCTGCAAGATCCAAGTTGCCAGAAGTCACGGCACCCCAAGATAAGGATCCTCCGACACAGATTGCAGATCAGGGTCTAGGCTTTAGGAATTGGTGTATAGGGTTTTGTTTCTTGGTTTTGGGGTGCTCGCGGTGTTGGCTGGGACGTCCGGGCTTCAAGATTGAGGGCTGCGAACTTCAAATTAAAAGTCTTTGAAACCCTAAACCCCTAAACCTTGAACCCCGTCTGCAAATGCTACGGCAGGGACGGCATGTTATGAGGCATCCAGGCTTCGAAGCACACATCCCAAGACCTACGACACACATCCCCAAACCTAAACCCCAAAACCCTAAAGCCCTAAACCCCTGAACCCCTAACCCTAAACCCAAAACCCCTAAACCCTAAACCAAAACCTACAAATTCCCAAGTCAACCCCTATATAGCTCCGAAGCTTCCACCCGACATCATACTATGAGTTTAGGGTCTTGGTTTAGGATTCAGGGCTTATAGTTTCTAGGATTTAAGCTGTTAGGCTTGGGGCTTAGGTCTTAGGGCCTGTAGGGCTTAGCCTTTAGGGCGTAGGGATTCCTGCAGCCGAGACCCGAGAGCCCTCAATCCTGACACACCACCACCTCCCCCGCTCACTTCTCGAAATTCGGGTCTCTTTGGGGGATCTTTTTTTTATAAGATTGCCGTACCAGTCTGGGGCCTACAAAGGGTTCAGGGTTTAGGGTTTCCTCAACCCTCAACCCTAAACCCTCAATCCTGAACGCTCAAAAACCTAAACCCACAACCCGAAACCCTCAACCCGAAACCCTCAACTCTCACCTCTGAACCCCTAAACCCCTAAACCCTGAACCCTGGACCCTCAACTCTCAACCCTAAACCCTAAACCGCCTAAACCTCAAATTTAGAGAACTACCCAGAGACTCCAACATCCCGTAATTAAGAAATATACCTCAAATTCTAAAAGGATACCGAATCTGATTTAAGGTATATTAAACCTTTAAGCCTGAACCCTAAACCCCTAAAACCCTAAACCCCTAAACCCTAAACCCCTAGAGCCCCTAGAGCCCCTAGAGCCCCTAAACCCCTAAACCCTAAACCCCCTGAACCCCCGAAACCCCCTAAACCCTAAACCCTAAACCGCCTAAACCCCTCATTTCAGGAACTCTACAACCGCAACACCCTAGACCCTAAACCCCGTAAACCCTAAAACCCTAGAACCCCTAAACCCTAAACCCTAAACCCTAAACCCTAAACCCTAAACCCTAATTTAAAGAACTACCCAACCGTCGCCGACCATTGGCCTGGTTAGCAGCTCCAGGGAGAGGCCAATCACAAAGCCGAGCTCGACATACCTTGGGCTGTAGGGCTTAAGGGCTTTAGGGCTTCAGGGCTCTACGGCTTTGGGGCTTTAGGTAGGGCTGTCGGGCTTTAGGGTTTTAGGGTTCCGGGTTGAAGGGTTTAGGGTTTTAAGGTTTTAGGTCTATAGGGCTTTAGGGCTTTAGGTAGGGCTTTAGGGTTTTAGAGCTTAGGGTTTAAGGGTTTAGGGTTAAGGGTTCTAGGGTTTTAGGGCGCTAGAGCGGGCTCTAGGGTTGTAGGGCTTAAGGGTTTTAGGGCTGCAGGGTTTAAGAGTTTAGGTTCTATAGGGATTTACGGCTTAAGGCTTTAAGGGTTTTAGGGCTTTAGGGCTTTAGGGTTGTAGGGTTGTAGGTTTTAAGGTTTTAGGTTCTATAGGGCTTTAGGGCTTAAGGGTTTTAGAGCTTTAAGGCTTTAGGGTTTGGGGGTTTAAAGGATTTTAGGGTTGTAGGGTTTAAGGGTTTCGGGTTCAGGGTTTTAGGATTTTAGGCCTTTAGGACTTTAGGGCTGTAGGGCTGTAAGGTTTGAGATTTAAGGGTTTTAGGGTTGTAGGGCTTAAGGGTGTTAGGGTTCCAGGCTTTAGGGCTTTGGGGATTTAAGGCTTTGGGGTTTAAGGGCTTCAGGGCAATAGGGCTTTAGGGCTTCAGGGTTTCAGGGCTTCAGGGTTTTGGGGCTCTAGGGCTTTTGGGCTTTAGGATTTAGTGTGTAGGGTTTAGATATACATAGGGGATTACAACTTAGGGAAGTATGTCGTTAGGCATTCAGGCTTTGAGGTTTCGGGCGAAGTAGGGCTTCGGTTGGGGGCTCAAGGTCTGACTAGGATTCTTTCGATCCCCTCACGCCCTCCCCTCAAAACAGTTTAGGGTTTCGGGTTTAGGGTTTAAGAAACACACAGAAACACACGCACACGCACATGCAAACTCCGCGAACATAAACAGAAGCAGGCGAACCCTCGGCCCCAAGACCTTGCTGCTGCAAGTTGTGTTGTGTAGGACTTCATGGCGTTGCGCGTGCTCCAAAACTCTCCAAACCCTAAGCCCTAAGCCCT